TTTTCCCCAAATGCACATTGCTCATCAAGCTGAGCACATTTCTGATGCGGCTACCTTAAGATGGGAACCACTGTTGTTCCACAGAGGAGGATGTCAATGTGTTTGCATCCCTTTTAAGCTGGGATGAGTTGCAGTGAAAGTGAAAGTAATATGAAAGGATCTCAAAAAAAATTTCTTGTCATAGAGGACTGATTTTAGAGAATGCTGCTTGTGATGGCCACAGCCATGGCCACACAACCATTTTAAGAGTAGTAACCTCATGCTTATATTTTGTCCTTAGTTTATGCTGTTTTTTCCTTAGGCTTAGTTTATATACTTTTTTCATACACATACATTTGTTGCAAACATTTATTTAGTTACAAATAACTCACAGGACACTTGGTTCATCTCACATACATTATACTTTATTTAATTGAACATACAAAAGTATCTTTTTGGAGCACACACCATTAGTTGCTTTTGGATGGTTTTTCTGTTTGAATAATTTACTTAGCTTAACAGTGTTAGATTCCACACCCTGGAAGGATCCAGGAAGTCTGCTGGTTTAAAGGGGTGGTGCTTGGAGCAGGAGCAGTTTTATAGGGAAAATTGGTCTGATCAGCCAATATATAAGTCCCCTTTGTTTCTTTTGTAGTAGGTCAGTTGTATTTTTGAGTCTCTTATGTTCAGCACTTTAGTTACCGTCTGTTTATTTAACCTCTTTTATGGGCCTAAAACTTTATCTTTATTTTGTTGTAATGATTTTTTTGGAAAATAAAAACCATTGCTTTTGAACTTCCCTTGTGACTCCTCTTGCTTAACTGCTTGGTCCCTCACACTGCTTTTGAAAAAGTAGCCGATGCTTTTGATTTTAGCAGAGAAAAAAAAGTAATTAAGTGTTATCCGAGGAGAGGCTGAGACGTTGTCCTTTAAAAATCAACCATTAATCAGTGAGTGTGATCACTAGTACAATGAACAAATGTAAATTTTTAACAATACAGTTAAATAAGGATCAAGTATAATACAGATGCCTGTATTATTTATTTCCTTGCAACCTTTTTAGCTCATATGTTTTCATTATCTCTGTCCGTTTTCACCATCTGAGTCAGTTTAGCAGGAGGAAAACTGGTTGTGTGACACCAAGATGTGTATGTGTGTGCATGCACACGCGTGTGTGTGTAAATGTGTCAGTGTATCTGGATGCCGTTAAGTTAGCTCCACCATTATGTAGATTAGCTCTATTCCCCTGAGTGCACCTTCACCATTTAGAGCATTCAATCACTCCCCTGCTTCATGGGAGTCAGGACAAACACGAACGCACACACACACACTCAGATTTCTATACATGCAATTTTTCAATTTTTTATGGACATCATATGCACAAATAAAAACCACGTTGCAGCCAGCAACACATTCATGTGGCCATACACTTTGTTCATAACACACACACACACACACACACACACACACACACACACACACACACACACACACACACACACTCACACACACACAACAGACCAAGGTTACTGGCTGTATCCTCTTCACATTATTGGTCCCTGGCTTGCTAATTATGTTCTCCTGCACTGTAGTTATCCATGCAGCCGCACTCACTCTATGTTCGCGTGTGTGTGTGTGAAAGAGCAACTGAATGAGTAAGTGATCACACGGTGGGTTTGTGTGTTGATTGCATTTGAGCAACATCAACAGTCCTTGTTTTAATCACAAACTTGGGATCAATACTCTATTCAGCTGAAGTGGTGTGTGTGTGTTTTTAAAAAGGTAATCTAGATCACAGAGTCCACAGCAGATGAGGACAGACAGTCTTTGTGGAGAATTTGCTTTGAACTAACCCATTTTCAGGTCTATGTTTATACTTTCTTGGCTGCTTGTGTGTTTTTCCTGCACAGCACATGTAAGAGCCTCCTACGTGTGTGTGTGTGTGTGTGTGTGTGTGTGTGTGTTCATATGAGCTCTATCCAGCAGACCCAGTACAGAACTGATCTTAAGAACAGCGTGCAGTGCTGATTGTGTCTCACGTGTATCTTGCTGCTGTTAGCCAACAATAGTAAATACAGTCTGAGGTTGTGCTGTACTGGAATAACATTTCACTATGTTTACAAAGCAGCTCCAGGGTTTACTGGGATATTAAGCAGTTTATAGCACAGTACACTCACCACAAAATGGCTTTATGAGCCAAGGGTCAAACTCAGGTCAATTCAAAACAGAATTTCTTCTTCCACATATGTCTTCCTCAATTACAGGTTAATGTAAATAGAAGAATGTGCAACACATAACGCACACAAAAACAATGTGAGCTTCAATATCTCATTTAATGTAAGCATGTTACATCTTTAATTAAGCATAGGAGTAAGCATAAATAGAACATAAATGAGGCACTATAATACAGTGTAGAAAAAGTATGTTTTAATATGTCTGCTTAATAATGACACTGATGAAAAAAGATTTTGTTCGGGTGATAAATACTTCTTCTTCTTCTTAGTTCTCGAATTTTCAAAGATTCATAATTTATTTCAGGTAATTTCAGCCTCCAGTACACACATCATAACAGTAGCCTACTTCTTTTTGATTGTTTTCCAAAACAATTAACATGAATTGTCTCTTCTCCCAGGCCAATTTTCAGCATTTGAACCAAAACGGCTTACTTCATTTGAATTAGAGGAGCTACCTTTCTCAGCCATCATGCACAACAGTGTTCTTATCTGGAGCCATAATGCAACAGTCAAAATCTGAAGAAGAAGGAGAAACACATTTTCCATGTGATATGACCTGACATGCTTGTGAGTGTGCATAGCTGCCGCTAAGCTTGTTTTCAGTAAATTACTCTAAGGTTTGTTTCAGATTGATGGACTACATTAGAGAGTCCTGTTCAATCGGTTGTGCAGCTTCATGCTAAATGTCCCATCCCTACCAATGTCACCTCAGAGCTGGCGGCGACACACTCGCTTCCTCGCTTCCTTCCTCACAGATTGGGGCTGATATGATGAATCTGTTGGCTGATTAAATGTATAGAGGAGTGGCAACGGAGATGAATCTTTTAAATCTTTCATGCATTGTAAATACTCAAGTGACCGTGTTTCTGTTAGGCTGGTTGTAGGGGTAAATTAGGGGTAATTCAGTTTTATATTTTAACTGGATTTTTTTCCCAGGAAATCTGACTGAAAATCAGATTATAAAAATAACATTTGTAGGGCAAACACTGCTGCTGAATCTTTTTTGTGCATATTTTCTTTTACTTTGAAGAACTCTGGGGCCTGATTTACTTTTTCTGTCCTTTTTTTCTTTTCACTTTATATTACCTGAAGTACCTAACAGCAGTCAGGGTACCGCTGGCTAGCACTTGGAGGTCTCTGCGACCCTTCAAGGATTTGCCTCCCCAGACCATCACTGACCCACCACCAAATCGGTCTGCTGGATGATGTTGCAGGCAGCATAACGTCCACCACGGCGTCTCCAGTTGTTGTCACATCTATGTCCTCAGAGTGAGCCTGCTCTCCCCTGTGAAGAGAAAAGGGCGGCAGTGGTGGACCTGCCAATTCTAGTGTTCTCTGGTGGGTGCCAGTCGAACTGCGTGGTGCTGGGCTGGAAGCACAGATCCCACTACAGGATAATGTGCCCTCAAGCTCATTTTGTAGTGCTCTGATGTTCTGATGAAGTGACATTGATTCACAATCGCTTATGCTTTCTAACTAGACAGATTGATATCCCTGAAGTTTAACTGACTTGATGTTATACTGTGACGATGAAGTGTACCCTTATTTTTTGAGCAGTGTATTCTTAAAACTGAACAAAACAACTATATATTATTGCCTTTGACAAAAAAGATTCAATGCGAAAAGTCCTTGATTAGTGTTAGGATAAGATTGTGAACAACCCAAGAAGAAACCCAAGCTGCTGATAGGGTCCAGACACCATAGGATGCGAACCTCAATGTCAAAGTCTCACATTATAAACTTTAATGACATCGGTCATCACCTGGGCCAAAAGAAGACTGTCCACCGGATCCAGAGCAAGTACTACTGGCTGGGGATCGTCAAAGATGTAGTGGATTGGGTAATGTCCGACCTTCTCTTAGCTGTTTTGCACCAGGATAGCAGCAACATGGTCATAATTTGCATTTCCACAAGTCACTTGTCATGAAAACATAAACAACGGTAATATTAAAGGTTAGCCAGTGGTGTCCTTTTTTGTGGTTAGGATTGTGTCCAAAATCTGTTTAAACAGCTTTTTAAAAGGCATATTGTTTGTGAACATCATAAAAAATCCAAAAGAGATGAGCCTTGTTATAAATATTATTCGAAATATTTGTGATTCCACCTCTTCCCATGTGGCCAAAGTGAGTCTGCCCTGTACTCTACCTCTAGTATAGTGTTTCTGTTGTGTGCATCTTGCCGATGTACATACTGACAGCAGGAAACTGAAACATGTGAAGGGTTGAGGGAGGCAGTAAGACCCAGAGGAGGAGCAGAGAGAGAGAGAGAGAGAGAGAGAGAGAGAGAGAGAGAGGGGTGGGAGGAGAGAGGAGGAGGGACTGTGTTCACTCTCGGCTCTATGCGTTGCGGCTCGCAGTGTTAGCGCGCCAGTGTGTATCTCAGTCTGCCGGCGACAGTGTGTGCATCGGTGCGTCGCTGTGTGTGTGAATGTGTATGTGACTCCAGCGCTCTCTCTGCATACGACAGGTGGAGATGACATGACTGCGCTCGAGAGGAAGAAAGGGAAGGACCTGTAAGGACTTAACGCACACTCACAATCTCATACACACACACCTTTTTCTTTATTTACCCTCAAACACACACACACCTTTGAATTCCTGCACTCCTCAGTTCAGGGAAAAGATAAGTTGTTGACTGTGTGTGTGTGTTTGTATGTGTGTTAAAATGCTATTTCTCCAGCAGCTTATCATTCAGACTGTAACAGCTGACTCCATGTGTACACAGGTGACAACTCAAACACATAAACACACACTCACAGGTCCTGACTGTTATCTTTGATGCCTGCAGACGCGGTCAGCAAGTGTTTCTGCGTCCTGAGGACAGTTCAGCTCCAGCCCTGACTACCAGACAGTCCACCACGTTGTCCGAACAACTCCAGGTAAGATTTACTCTTCTCTTCTCTCTTGTCCATACTGTCTGGAAAACAGGATGCTCGATGCTTCACGCCCTCTCCTCTCTTCCTTTCAATTATTTATTTATTTATTTATTTTTTGCCAGTGTCTTTTGTCCAGTCTGTAAAACTACAGGTAAACTGTGATACTTTAACCTTAATACTCCCCTGGTTTTCCCTTAATGAAATCAGTCTCAAAATCCCTTATGTTCTTTTAGAGATCTGTTGGTGCCTTGATCTCCGTCTTTCTTTAACACACACATACACACACACACACACACACACACACACACACACACACACACACACACAATAAATTATCTTCTCTACGATGAACTTTTGTCTTGAGGAGGTAAGTTTCAGCTCCTGTTGCTGCAGCTTTCTGTCTTTCTCAGTTGATTGAGTCTGTGACATACTTATTATTTGCTTGGGGCTTCTGTGTGTGTGTGTGTGTGTGTGAGTGTGTGTTTGCCACTGTGTTTGTGTGAGGGCTCAGATAAAAGACGGAAAGATAAAACATGAAACTGCAATAAACATGAAAGGTAGGAAATTAAAGCCAGTGACATTTTTGTTTGAATGACGGATGAGTGCTCGTGTCATCTCTATTTGTGCGTTACATGCAAGTTGTGTGTGTATGTGTATGTGTGTGTGTTTTAGGCGACTACATTTTTCAGATGAGTTGGTTCAATTTGTTCTTGCATTCCTCACAGCAGTAAGCCTCATTTCCGTGAGCTTTTTGTTTTGTTTTGGCCCATCTCGCTCCTTTTTGTGTTTGCATGATTTGTAACATACAGGCAGATAACTCATATTTTACATTACTGCTTTCTTGGTTCCTCACACGTTAGTTAGTTTGTGTGTGTGTGTGTGTGTGTGTGAGTACAAGAGTGTGTCTGCATTTGTGTTTTATATTGCAGAGGGATTTAATGTTGTTGGCAGCGAAATAGAAAAAATGTTTGATTGGCTGCCAGTGTCGACATGTTCTGCTCAGATCCAATTACCTAGACAGATACACACTTACAGTGACGCAGGCACATGTGCGCGCACATTGATGACACACATTCCCACATGCACAAATTTTGCCAATACTACATGAAAGAACTGAAATGAAGATAAACAATATTCTCTATGAAGAAATACTCATTCATCTATGTCACAGAGCAGCAGGGCAAAGATCAGTTATGTACATATACATACATATATATTACTGTATGTACTCTGTATGTTACTGTGAGTGCATGGGCTTGTGTTTTTATTATAAAATAAATTTATCAACATAACTCCATCACTTAAAATTTCAAACGTGCTCTCCTATAATTACAGTCTTTTGTGTGTTTAATTGTGATGACGCTTTTTTTTTTTTAATTCAGCCTTAGACTGTGTGTCTACATGTTTGTGTGTGTAACTGTCATTACAGTGCTTATGCACTTCTGAATCATCCCTCCACATACTAATTTCTGCAATCAGATTGCGTTGCTGAAAGTCTTGTCCCACTACATTCCTCGCTTTGTGTGTGTGTAAAGGGTTTGTTGCTGAAGCGTCACCAGTACTGTAATTTCCGTCTGTGATTTGGCAGCTGGTGAACATGCAGAGTGTGCAGCGCCACCTGCAGGAGCTGCCTGAAGAAAATCTATTTATTTAGGTCTCGAGGGTGTGTTTAGAGGAATAACTTATTTTTTAAATACATTTTAAACAAGTTTAACAGTTTTGTCTCACAGCTTCCACAAAAACGTTTTGGTCACATCATGACTTATCCTCTGATTTAACGGATTATGACAAAGATGTCTGTGGATTCAAGCATCTGATTTGTATCTCTGTATGTGTTCTGTTTTTGACCTGTGCAATTGTGCGAACCCATGTTTTTGTATGTTTGACCAGTATAGGACTAAAAGTGCTGTACGCATGCGTATGTGTTCATTTGTTTGTGCGTGTGAGCCAATGAGGCAGCAAAAAGCAGCAGGTTAATCTCTTCTCAGTCTCCAGCAGAACAGATGTGAGGATTAATTCGTCAGGGAATTGGGGGTGGTTACATGCTTCTGTGTCTGCATGCCTAGCTCCACTAAAATTCAACAAAATAAGTGTTTGTGTGGATCCTTTGCATATATTTAACACGCTCTGCTGATCTGAGGGTTTGTGTATCAATGCAAATGTGTTTTCTATTTCTGTCGATGTTCACATATACTGATATACTCTCTGTGATATACTCTCTGTGCAGTTTGAGTGAGGCTCAGCAGCTTCATGCACCTTTAAGAAAACAATTTAAATCAGAAGCAACACTTGGGGACAGGTGTGTTTATTCGCCTGTCCTGATCTCCACACCTATTCTTCAGCTCCTTGTCAATTATCTACATCTCTTATCCTCATCATTTTGCAAAGAGGGTGTGCTAAAAAGAATGGAGAATTTTGGGCTGAATTTTGAGATGGAAAAAATGCCATTTGAACATGACAAACACAATTGCACGGCACATAATTATTTCTGCCTGCATGTGTGTGGGTGTGAGGGTGTGTGTCCAGGAACTGCATATGGTAGCGCCCCAGATAGATTGACCTTAATTACAGGAAAGTGTTTCTGTTGGATGGAGGAGGTTTAGCCTAATAAAGTATGTAATCTATAGTGTTGTAATTTTCAGTTTGGGGACAGAAACTGTGCTCTGACCTCACTGCTGGAGGAAAATGTGGGGAATAAAAACAAGTGGTTCATTGAGGCTATTGCGTCAGTCACACTTACTACGCATGTCTGCCTGTCTTCAGGTGCATGCCTGTCATTGCGGGGGAATTGTTATTCTGATCTGACCACAAAGATTTAGTATTATGATGCGAGATCACTGTTTCACTTTTGGTCATAACACTTAAGGCAATTGATTTTATTTCTTCCTCTCATAGTATTTATCTAACTCTTTTTCTTACGATTGTACAAAACTGTGCGTGTTTGCCTTTTATCCTTTTACTCTATGTGGTCTGATATAGATTCTGTTCATAGTTCACTTCATAGTCTTGCTCAAGAACAAAACAACAGGACATGCAGCTGAGCTGGTGATGTAGATACTGACAGAGGGTTCTTCTAACGATACTAGTCGAAATGTATAATCCATTTATTTTAAATAATTTTTGAGCTCAGCCAGACAACTCACATTCTGAATAATAATTTAGAAATTAAGAATGAATGTAAATCCGACCAATATCCCACATTTACAATTTTCAGTGAGGCATGAGGAAATGCAACTATTTTCTCCTGAAGATCTGACTTTCAGCCCTATATTATACCTTTAGTGTGTGTTTCTTCATGCCTACTCTGCTTGTATCCTTAATGTGAACACATAGCACTGGAGCCCATTATCTGTGAGCACTCAACACTCGAAGATTGAAACAAATTATCTCCAATGGAAGCGCAGGAGTGACCTATGTAGGTACCATAATACTGTACTGGATGTGAAGTGATGGAGGAACCACCACAAGTAAAATTGGAACTCACACCACCAGATAACCATTTTATTGCATGACTCTCAAAACCTGCAGAAGTAGTTCTCTATGAAGACTCAAGTGGACACAAGCCTGTGCCTTGTGCTTATAGGTGACAGAACAGCACAGTGTGTTACACCTCATGCATGTTTTTAAATTAATTGTCAGTCATACATGATTACAAAAAAATATTAATGGTTTACATTTGCAGCTTAGTCGTGAATAAAACATTTTTTTTAAATTAAGGGAAATAATGAATCTCTTATGGAGTGAATAGCAAACCACGTGTGTATATAAAAAATTAAAATTCAGTTCTTCTTGCTTAACCAATTTGATTCACAGGGTTGTGATCGTGTAGAGCTCCAATATTCCCTAACACTGTCACTCATTCAGGCAAGTGTGCGCTCCCCCTCTTGTTTTTTTTTCATTGATTGCTGGTGGCTCGAATTAAACAACTGTGAGAGGGATCCATAACGTTCCACAACTCTCAAAAATGTTCTTCTATTGTTCTTCGATTATAAATGCCAATGGAATAACATATAAGGCATGGCATGCATCAGTAGTAGTTGCAGCTGTGGATAACGTGCAGTGCTCGCTTGAAGACGGTGTTTTCTGTATTTGATCTGGAAAAGTACAGTATTATGTCCAGACAATTATCTTATTCGTAAGGGTTTATATGTCAGTATTAATGTACTGTATATGCCATGGTTTACCATACCAAGAAAATGTGTTTGCTCATTAATTCATATGGGTGGATTCAGTAGGTAAATGCACATATTGTATACACTCCTCTTTTAACTTCAGGGGTTGCATATTTTTTCCACCATTTAATCATGGTGAGCTCAGAGCAGCCATTAAAATACCACCCACCTGTCTTATCTACGATACAGAAAACAAACCCTTCTCTATACAGCAAAAAAAAAGACTAGGTCTGATTCCACGAAGAAAGAGATGAGATGAGCATCCAGCTGTGAACATTATGTAGGTTTCTGGATCTGTTTAGCTGGACTTTCTTGGTGTTTCGTAAGCCAAGAAAGCAGGTTCGTACAGCAGTTTAGGAGCTTGTTGCAAGTTTAGCTTAATTTTGAACTTAATATATCCCGCTGTAAAACAAGATCAAATTAGCCCTGGTTGGGGAGTATTACAGTATTTTGTCATTTTAATGTCCTATATAAGGGACTCACCATGAGGTCTCGCGTTAGTCATGAGCAGTGGTGGATGAATCCCTTCATTGTGGTACCAATACCACAAAGTAAATACACTCCAATATGTAAAGGAATTGCATTTAAAATCCTACTTAAATAAAACTACACCAGCAAAATTTAGCATTAAAAGTAAAAGCGCTCCTTCTCCTGTGTGTGATATAATAATATTTATATGCATCATTATGCAAGTAGCATTTCACTGTTTCAAATGGTCGAGGTGGAGTTTGTTTTAACAGTTATTTAAATGAAACCATCTGAGAAGTTTCTGAAAATAATTTTTTTGTAAGGAGTAACTGTGCAAGCCAACTTGTTTCATCTCCGATAATA